ACTGTTTATGGATAGGAAATACTGTTTATGGATAGGAATAATAACTGTTACTTGAAATCTAGTGTTGAATCAAAACTTTGACCACTCCTTCGGTACCGCTTTTCAACAGATCAAAGGCTTTGACGGAGTCTTTGATATTGAAGGTATGAGTGATCAATGGCTTGACATTCAGTTTCCCACTTGTTATCAATTGTATGGCCAATTCATAACTGTTTAAAAGTGATTAGAAAAGTTAGTTATGATAATTATGGGACCAATTTATACAAGAACTGACTCGTCTTTGATACGACAAACACCAATCAGATCCACTTCTCTCATGGCTGCGCTACTCAATGGTATTTTGCAATCGGCGCCCAAACCCACAATACCAACCTTTCCGCCACTTTTGGTCACATGTATTGCCAAACAAACTGATAATAAGAACTTCATTTTAGAGCACACGAAAGCAAACGAATGGTCTCTCACCTGAAGACTCGACACCTGTGCACTCTATCGCGATGTCGACTCCCAAAGAGTTGGCACCGATTGCACTGCGAATGGTTTTCGCCATTTCTTTGTCATTAAACGTCTTGGGATTGATTACAAAGACTCCGTCGGCGCCCAACTGTTTGGCCATTTTTAGACGACTTTCATTGATGTCAGTTAAGTAGACCTTTGAAGCGCCGAATGCTTTTGCCACCAGAAAACACATTATACCGACGGGTCCGGCGCCGCATACCAACACATTTTGGCCGATCCCTACACGCACTCGACGACACGCGTGAACCACAACTGCCAGCGCTTCTACAAGAGCTCCCTCTTCGCACGACACGTTCTCTGGCAGTCTAGCCGTTGGCAAACATTTATACATTTTAATGGTTTGCTTTTTAAGTGTTTGCAAACATATTATGCTTAGAATAGGACAAAATAAAAGCTAAATGATCGCTATTTTAAATTGAAGTTTTAATTGTTGAAACCTTTTACTTTTTCGCTATAAATATTGAAAAAAACAATTTAAATCTTTTAACAGTTCACTGAATAGCTTTTGAACCATATTTAAACCGCTTACACAAACTTAACTAAATTAAACTGTTTTACTGTAAAGCGCTGCCAAAATGAACAATTAAACAAATGAATTGCAAAATTAAGTTTCGCTTACTTATAACAAAAGTCTGATCTGTGAGTATAGTATCGTCGAAGACATCCATCAGCGGGCGGTAATCCATGGGAGTGTAGGTTAGAGACGGGACACAGATTGTATCGACCGCTGCGACAAAATTGACACTTAAGACATGGAAGCGCCGGTTCCACAGCCACTCTGTCGCCCACTTTCAGATTTGTCACTTCACTTCCCACTCCTATCACCACAGCTGACGGCTCGTGTCCTAAAACAAACGGCTTTTTGACCACAAAATCAGCCACAAATCCCTTCTTCCATAGAGTGACATCAGTGCCACAAATTCCACAACTTTTATGTTTAAAATGATATAAAAGTTTGCAAATTCAGTAAAAAGCAGACAAACTATTGCTTCAATTCGAAGCTAAAAATAATCATATGTTTAAATAAATGAAGAGAAGTCATACCTATGGGCCTGAAGTAAACATTCTGGAAATAAAACAAACAAATGGATACTAAAACTAGTCATTTAGGGATTAATTAATTATAATTTCTACCATTTGGAGCCAATTGTTGAGGAAGAGGCCACTGCTCTAGTTTGAGGACATCCTTTTGGTGAAGAACAAGAGCCAAATTGTCTTTATTCTGAATATTCTTTAGCGAATCCATCATTCAATTGGCAAATCTTTGACAAGTGATATGAATTTATAGCACAACTAATGTATACCAATTGCTATGATATTATCAGAAACTGTTTGACAACTCTTCAAATAAAACTCATAAATCGATGAAAATTGAATATTTAATTAATTCAAATATCATTCAATTGTATCGCGAGATAACCACTCGACAAACACAACTCTCAACAATTGAAACTTCAATTGTTTGAAAAATGTTCATTTATTTCTGTCACTTCTGTTAACACTTTATATACTGAAGACAAATGAAACAAAACCAAGAAATTTCATAAATATATTCCTTAACTCTGAAATGCAATACAGAATATGGGAGTTATTGCTATATAATATAGCAGACAATTCTGTGCTAACTATTGCTATGCATTACATCAGTATTGAGTCACATATGCCATACACTTAACACCAAAAATGTTTGCATTATTTCCAATTGCTTTAAATGGCAATAACGTTTATCCATTACATCACAACACATTACATCCCTTTATTGTATATTTAAAAGTTATAATAGAATTTACATGTTAATTAAATAGGAATAAAAAGATTATTATATAACTTAAAGTTTAGACTGTTGAATTAAGCATAAGAAAGGGAATTACAACAATTTTTTGATTTGATATTTATTTGATATAAATCCTATTTGATAAATGTGATAGATTAAATATTCATGTATTTATAAATAAATTGTGCATTTTATGTGATTTTAACACAATTAAGATATACTTTAGACTGTTTTGAGAGTCTTAAATAAAGGAGGATGTCGAGATCTGCCTAAGCTGGCACCCGGGATTTCACAATATAAAATGAAAGTACACTGCATAAGGAGTCTATTGATATAATCTATATGGCCGACCGACCTCTTGTTCGGCGGTAGTGACCACTTTTATCGGGAAACTTAAACTTATTAAAAATTAACATTTGATATATGAAATCAATGTAGAATTTAACGTAGAATCAGAATATATCATTATTATTTGGACGGAACATATCGTATATGAAATATTTCCAAATTAAGAAATTTTAATTTTAATTTTTGTTATTTTGACGTTGTTTATTGATAATTTTTTACAAATCATACTTTATTCTTGAATTAGTGCTAAAATAGAAGAAAAATATAAATTAAAATGAATAATTATTTTTTAGCTGAAATTCAGTTTTCAGTCATGAAGTGTTTTGTATAGAAAATTGATTTGGTCCATTCGAAGTCTGTCACCAGGGCTCCGATGGTTCCTCAACCTGTTACTGGTGAGAAAGACCCAATTCTAGCACGAGAGTGACCTCGATGACCTAGGCGAGGGAATTGGATTTTCACAACCTAATCTGGAAATCAAGTCTGGGTTGTATTAGTGTTGTGAGTGGTGGCCGGGGTTGTGGGGATGTTGTGGTTGGTAGTCGGGATTCTGGCGGTGTTGTTCGTGTGGTGTAATAACTTATTTCAATGAATTTTAGTAGTTTTACATAAATTNTTGTGGTGACAATATTTGGACCACAAGTTGACAACAATTGTTTGGCTGTCACTGGATTTAAGCCCTTAAGTTGATTATTTATTTTTAAAAATAACATAATTACAAAATTGATTTACATTATTTATATGCAATTTTGTATTTTTAACATTACATACATTTATTGAATGAGTGTTAAACTTATTGCACAACTTTGATAAGGAAATGATGTGGTCATCGATTTCCATTTCTCGGCTCATTTTCTCCAATTCTTGTTTCCGTTTTTCATTAAACTTTGAGTCCATTCTTCTATTTTGATATCCCTTCCAGTTATCGACAATAGACTCGAAATGATTTATTAGATTCTGTAATATTTTTATGTAATAAATTGTTTGTACATATTTCACAAATCTACACATCATTACCGCTTCCGTATAATTACAAAATAATTGTGTAATTTTTTTGGTAAAAATACAAAATTAAATGAAAATAATTTGGGCGTTTAAAGAAAACATTGATAAATAAAACTCAATTTGAGAGTGAGTTAACAAAATTGTCGAATAAATTATTGAACATGTTTTCAATATTCAATGTTTTTGTTTCACGATTTTTTGTATTTTGTATAGAAAACAAAGTTAACAAACTTCTTAAGTCTATCTCTCTCTCTTAACTTATATACATTATGTTGTGTTGAAGAACCTCTGATGTAAACGAAAAGGTAATTGCGGCAAAACATAGCATATATACAGATAATTTTTCACTTAAATTTTCAATTCCAAAGGAAATGACTAACAATTTATTGACTGAAAAAAAGTTTTATTAATTAAACAAAACTTTTTTATTTGTTATTTATATTTTCCGCTCATTTCTCGGCATAAGTGGTATTGAATTAATAATTAAATTATATTTTTTAATAACAATTACATACATATGTAATGGCAATCATAGTTGACTACAATATAAAGATATTACATNAATTAAATTATATTTTTTAATAACAATTACATACATATGTAATGGCAATCATAGTTGACTACAATATAAAGATATTACATCAGGGTATTATAATGGTTATAAATATAAATTACTTTATAAATGTAAAGTAGGATGGGCAAATTAGCCCACGCTGGCAATCGGGATTTGACCATATAACATGAATGTACATGGAATAATGAGTCGTCTGTTATAATCCATATGGCTGAGCCACCTCGCGTTCGGCCGCAGTGACCACTTTTATCGGGAAAATTCAACTTATCTAATACTAACATGTGATATATGAAATCGATGTAAAATTTAATTTGGAACTAGAATATCGCAATTTCACATTGGTAGGATTAGTAGATTTTACGTTATTTACTTAAAACGGTTAAATTTTAGATAAAATTATTAAAATAACCTATTATTCTTTAATTCTTACTATCTACGCCAACACCACACACACCTTTAGCACTCATGACCCAATGGTCACTACCACTAATCGCGGACCAAAAATAAATTGAAGTTACATTAAATCTATGCATCCTCTCGAGATGTTATTACGATATTCTAACAGAATGATTCTTCTGCGTGAAATTCTACATTGATTTCATATATAATATGTCAATATTGAATAAGTTAAAATTTCCGCTAAAAGTGGTCACTGTGGCTGAACCCGATGTCGGATGATCATATGGAAGAGAACAATTTACTCCATATTTGACGTAGTTCAATGTTATACAACAAATCGCCTTTAATTTGTAAAAAAATTTCTAAAAACCAGTTAACTTATGTCCCCATTACAGATCTTATAAACCCCCATTACAGATCTGCACATCCTCCTTTACATAATCTATGTTGAATATGTATTAAACGGCACTCAATAGCCATCGCATAATTGAGTTGTTGTTTTGCTGTCAATATTTAGCAATAAATTTCAATTTATTTAAAATATTTTAGGGATTTTTACCAAAAATATTTTCAAAATGCAAAATAAAATTATATTATTTTTTCAATCAATTGTATGTCATTTTGAACGCTTTTTTGCCGCAAAATCTATTCATAATCTACAGTAGTTGAATGCAATTATAAGTGAATTTTACTTAATTACTAAATTTTATTTAAGACTCTCAAAACAGTCTAAAGTATATCTTAATTGTGTTAAAATCACATAAAATGCACAATTTATTTATAAATACATGAATATTTAATCTATCACATTTATCAAATAGGATTTATATCA